GCGTATTTCTCCAGGAGACCCCCCCCCCACATCTGCAGAAATCCCCAAGACGCCTCTGATGGTGTAGATATGGATTCTGTCCCCAAAAGCCAAGGGTAGAAAATATTCTTTGCAGCGTAGCAAGGCTCGGAGGTCAGCGGGGCCTTCAGGAAATGACTGGGAGCTTGCAGAGGTAGATTGTCCAAAATGCAGAAGATGCACGTGTGTCGGCGAGGATCAGTGACGTCCTGGGTGGGTGCATCCATCAATGGGGGAGTGTACTGCTGGGGCACAGGGCTGGACGGATGGTGGAGCCCCTGGGAGGGGGTTTCTTCTTCTTTTCTCTCTCTCTCTCTCTCTCTCTCTCTCTCTCTCTCTCTCTCTCTTTCTCTCTCTCTCTGTCTCTGCTCCCTGGTGCCCTGTCCTGAGCTGCTCTCCTCCAAGCCCTGCCGCCATTTTGTTCTGCTCCCCTTGGGCCAGAGCCATGGAGTCGGCCACCAGGGACTGAACTTCGGACACCCTGAGCCCAAAGAAACCAGGAGGTAAGTCAAGGCAGGTGGGTTGTGGCTGGAGAAGGGGGTCACTGGGCTGTGCCTTTGGGGACTATATCTTGTCCCTGGATTCTCCTTCTTGGGCTGGGGATCCAATCTTCAACTCATGGACCATTAGATGACACATGGACATATTTCTTTTTGGGGGGGTGAGTACCAGAGATTGACCTCAGGGGCACTCGACCCCCGAGCCCCGTCCCCAGCCCTATTTTGCACTTTATTGAGAGACAGGGTCTCCCTGAGCTGCTTAGGGCCTCGCTTTGGCTGAGGCTGGCTTTGAACTCACGATCCTCCTGCCTCAGCCTCCTGAATTTTTTTTTTTAATATATAAAGCTTATGGATTAAGGTTTATTGTCATAAGCCCCCCATCTGAGATATTGTGCTTTTGTATCATAGATGATAGATAGATGAGATAGATAGATAAATAGATTGATCGATTGATTGATAGATAGGATGGATGAACGGATGGATGGATGGATGAACGGATGGATGGATGGATGGATAGATGGATGGATGGGAGGACGTCGGTCACGGGGGTGCCCGTGGGGACTCTGTCTTGTCCCTGGCTGCTCCCTCTGTCTCCTTCTGCTGTTGGGCTGCCCTGAGCCGAGCAGCTTGCTCCTCTGTGTCCTCTGCCGTGGTCTCAGCCTCTCCCTGGAGACCTCGTGAACCTGAGCCGAGACCCACCTTTCCTCCTTGAGCTGATTTACATCAGGCATCTTGGCCGGGGCTCTGGAAAGCTGGACAATCCCCGTGGCTTATGTCCCAGGCAGAGCTCGTGCCTGATGACCCCGTGAGCGTCTTCTTTTGCAGGTGAACAAAGATCAAGGGAGACCTACCCATTTTCATGCTTGGGACCCTCATAGGAGGACCCGTCCTGGAGAAGCCAGATGAGACAGAAAGGGTGTGGTCTAGTGGCCAGGGACTGTCGATCTAATAGCAGGGACCAAGCAAGGTCAGTCTGTGCAGATCCTTCTCGGCATCTCTCTGCAAAATCCCTTGCAGTAAGATGTGGGCCTCTCAAATGGGCCTCTAGTATGGGCCTCCAGAATGGGCCTCTAGTATGGGCCTCCAGAATGGGCCTCTACACAGTCTTGATCTACCTTAAGACAGAAAGGCAGGGGACACCGATGAGTGACATTTTTAGGCTATGCTCACCACCAGGGCCAATGTCGTTTGGCCTTAGAGACATTTTTTTTTTCAGACAGAAGAAATGAAATATTGCAAAGGGGTCGTCGATGCAGCAGAGGGAAGAGATGCCCAGGGTGCGACAGCTCTTTGCAATCTTTACGGGGGGCCGTCCTGGTCCTGAGATCTCCAGGAGATCCCGGTGGGCTGTAGTGTCCAGGTGCTGTTGACCTCCGCCTTGCTCATCTCCCCCCAAGATGGCTCCTGGTTTTAGGTGTAAAGTTCTACCTGATAACTAGCCTCCGTTGAGCACCAGGAACCTGGTTTCCAAAGTGCACCTGTGTTTTCTGGGTTTTGCAATTTTTATTTTGCATCTCAATAAAACCCTCTAGGATTTGGTGGTGGGTCAGATCATTTCCTCCCCGGTTGGCTTCATGGTCCAACCACTTTGGGGACCGACATGGCCGAGGCCACTCATGCACCTGTACAGATTCACTTAAAGTTACTTAAAAAGAAAACGGTCTGACCTAGCTCTGGTTTTGAAAGCGTTATTTAAAGTTCAGGGAAATTTTTTTTTTTCTTCTTCTTCTTCATGAACCGATCATCCGGACCGTTCCCAGTCCTTTCTGATAACTCTGTGCAATTCCCCAGAGAACCTCATTGGATTCTTGGCTTCGGGTTTTAAAAAGTCATAATGCACAAAAAAAGAGAAAAAAATATATATATGAAGAAATAAAAGGTTAGAATAACGCAATAGCGCACTCTCCGTCTCAGGCTGCCAGCCACTTAACGTGTTTTGGAGGGAATTGCAAAGGTCACGTCATCCGAGAGACACTTTGGTTTCTCAAGGTTTTATAAAGTAATCGCTTCCGTTCTCAGGAGCAGAGACCACATCCATCCACAGCAAAAGAGCAAACCATTTGCAGCTCAGTGTGGACATTTATTTCGTCCTCCCATCACTCCTGTCCGTGGGGGAACTTGGAGCGCGTTTGCATCTGTCTGGTTTTGTTTATCTTGCTTTTCTGAGATCCTTCTCTCTCTCTCTCTCTCTTTTTTTTTATTTCCACCAGATGCTAGGAAGGTTTTCCTTGGCCTTAAGCTTGGAAGGGAAGTCTAGGCAGGAAGACACGTCTGACTGGACACTTGTAGTCCCAGGACGAGGCCAGGAATTGCAAGATGGTGATGATTGACAGCCTGTGAAAAGGGCCATCTGGTCGACCTCCCTGGGGGACTCTCAGGGGATCCACCAAGATTTTGTGTCACCCCCAAATGTAGGACCCCCCTCCCGGCACCAGTTCCCAAAGGATAGGGAGCAACAGGACAGGTCACCCCTGCGGCAAGAGCTCTCTGAGTGGATGTGAGGGATTGGGGTGCCACTCGGGGCAGCCCATGCTGGCTGCAGAGATCAAAAGATGAAGTGCGTCAAGGTGGGACCTGGCTTTCATGTCCCCTCCCACCGCGACCTGGAAGCAAGTGGCCTCTGAGATCCAGGGGTGGCAGAGAAGGCTGGGGAACGATCTCCAACCATAATAGCATTGCAGCCGGGCACCGTCGTGCATGGACCTCCTGGAATCCCAGCAACTCGGGAGGCTGAAGCCGGAGGATCGCGGGATTGGAGGCCAGCCTCAGCAAATTGGCGAGGTGCAAAGCAAGTGAGTGAGACCCTGCGTCAAAGTCCAGGAGTAAATAAAAAGGGCTGGGGATGGGGCTGCGGGGTTTAAGCACCACTGGGTCCAATCCCTGGTACCCAAATGTACTAGATAAACAGATAATGCAGATATTACATTTTATGCTGATTTCTGAATTAAAATCGTGTCTGCATTAGCTTTAATTTGAAAATTAACCATAAAAATGTGCATTTACCTGGCTTCAAATAAC